CGAAATGGTCTCTGGCCATCTTGTTTATAAATGTGTGCATCATTGTACATGTTTTTGAGGTATTATACATTTTGAAGTGAATTGTACTGAAGTATGAAGTTTTTAAATGTCGTTTAAAGTCCCTACAGTTATGTTGTAAAAGGACTTTTGTCTTGATTTTCAATATTTAAAGTTAAAAAAAAAAACCCAACAAAAAGACAAAAAAAACAAAACACACAACAAAAAACGATTATTTAAAGTTACATGCTAAAAAAACATCGAATTCCACTATACATTTTGTTTTGTATTTACAAACATGTTGCTTAATCATTATGGTATTAATAGAATATTGTTGTTTTTGGTTTATTAAGCTTTATCACATTAAGAAACAAATTATTATAAGTCGAAAACGATCTACAGAAGTTATTGTTTCTAACTTAACCTGCCGAAAGCGGATGTGTGTAAAACTAAATGTTCTCTAATAGTATTGTGTGAAAGAAATTCAAGAGGAACTAAAATAGCTTAAAAAATAAAAATATAAAAAAGAAGAAAACTAGAAATGTGTCCATCGGACACGGATGCCTCAACACGCCACTGTTCTGTCAATCTTATGACTCTAGGTCAAACATTTTTGGACTACATGTGCCACAAGTTGAAAACTAAAAATCAACAAAGGGCCATAATTCTGTTAAATTAGGTCGCAGCAGAAATCTCTTCCTTTAGAACCATCTTCACATTAAGTTGTTCATCACTGGAAGTTTAACAGAATTCTGCATCCGGTTAAGAGGATTGTGTTCACAAAATTTCACAAGATAATGAACAAATCAAAAAAAAGGCCTTTATCTTTTAAATTTTTGTCACACAAAAAACCTTCCTTTTACAAAAACAAACCTTTAAGGTTTTTACCCAAAGTAAGAAAAAAATTTTCAATTTTTAAAAATATACATGCTCCTTTGATTAAAAATTTTTTAATCAAAGAAATTTTTTTACAACCAAAAACCTTACAAATTTTCAAATTTTAATAAAAAAAAAATTTAAATTTTGTTTTAAAGAATCGCTTTCCTTTTCAGGAAAGAATTCCCTTTAAAAAAACTGCCATTTTTTTTTAACGTCACAAATTTTCCATTGGACCACCTAAAGTTTATAGAGTTTTAAACATGAAATATCTACTTTGTGTGAAGTTCAAAAACCATTTTTCTTTTATAATTTACAAAAAGAGACTGTCTGAGACAGTTACCAATAGTCTTGAATATGAAATTGAGCAATAGTATATCTTTTAAGAGAAATTTTAAGTTCACAAAATTTCTACCGCATAGTTATAGTGAAAAAAATCAATTCAAAAGGGCGCCATAATCTGTTAAATTTTGTCGCAGCAAAAAAATCCTTCTCTTTTACTACCATCTACACATGAAAGTTTGTTTAATCCCTTGAAAGTTAAAGCAAAATCTTCCATCTGTTAAGAGAAATGCGTTCACAAAATTTCTACATAGAATATAGTGAAAAAATCAACAAAGGCCATAAGTCTGTTAAATTTGGTCGCAGCAAAAATTTTTCCTCCTTTACTACAATCTACACATAAGGTTGTTCATCCCTGGAAGTTTAAGCAAAATCTGCCATCCGGTTTAAGAGGAGTTGTGTTCACAAGATTTCGGGACGTACGGACAGACGGACGGACGGACAGACGTACGGACGGACCGACAAATGCAACGCTATATGCTCCCACTTTGTGGGGGCATAAAATGCCTTTTCCAGGAATCGAACCAGGGTCTCTACACTGACAAAGCTAACACGCAACCACTACACTTTTACGCTGAACAGATAAAATATGAGTAATTATGTAGGTGATTAAAGATTAAGGCGATAAATAGTAATTATCCTTTTATATATTAAGCATTATCGACAAACCCTTTTGTCAATATTAATGTAAACAGATAATGTCAGGAAAACCGACTTCGCGCTGTACTGTAAAAGTAAGTATAAGTATTTTAACGGTAAGTATCAGTACTGGCACTAGTCAGGAAATTGTATTATGTTTATATTGTTGTAATGGGCTGGTGGGCCAAAAACATTGTAATTGCATTTGTTTGCAAGCAGTTACTTGTTTTGTCTTTGTTTTGTTGAGTAATGTTTTGTAACAGAAACTTGACCAATGAGTGGTAAAATGTTATGTTTGAATTAAAAGATTTTTATTATTATATTTCAAATATAACGAAAGAAATCTTCATCAATTATTGATATGTTGGAACTATAACAATGCCACCTTTGTCACCAGTATAGCGCCAGATCAGAAAGGCTCTGTAAAGTTGGAAGCTTATTTCATTGTGAAGTTTGATATTGAAAATTCTAATAATTTGAATAAACTATTCAAAATTCAAAGCAGAACGAACGAATCTATTACACATATTCAGTAGGTTTTAGATAAAAAACCTTAAATGTCTGTTTCATCTTAGACTGCCTTTAGCAGTGATAACGCATCCTGTCTCTTTACTTTTGCTGTCTTTTTTCTACAATGTACTTTTACAAAAATATTCTGGAGACAACTACCAATCATTGGTACTTAAACAATGCTACTTTTTGACAACTAGTTTCGAATGTAATGCTTTTCGTCAGGTGATGAGCATCAAGTTTGTTCTATGTTTGTGTGAGAGACACTATGTGATTTCAACGGACGAGTGTTTAGTTATCGCCGGATGCGAAGCATTTGTTTTGTATAAGTGCGAGTAATGGCAGACTTTGAAACATTGAACGTGTTTGCGCACTGTTGAATTAAAGATATCGCAGGCCTGGCTTAAAATGACATTATGCCCATCCAATAGTATTTAAGGGTTGAAAGTCGAAATAAGTTTTTATTTTCAACAAATGTATTCATTGCATAAACAATAAGTTCCTTAAGACACTTTTTTATAAGAACAATCGGAATTTGCCGATAACGTTCAATATATAAAAGGTTGGGTTAGTCTATTTATATTTAAGCAAACTTATTTTTTATAATAATTCTAACATTTTCCAATATTGGCTGTTAGTTAATCACAATTAAAGCAGTGATTTTTAAAAATAAATTATAAAATATATAGTCAATTCAGCTCAACTTGACGATAAACAGGGAGCATAATGTCACTTTAAGCAAGTATGGTCAAGGACAACAGTGGTTGATGCAAGCAACGATCTGGATCTGTGCCTCTCAGCAGTATTCAAAGTAGTGTTGAATATTGATATACATTTAAACGAATTTTGTTATTTACGAAATACATAAGTACATAATACGTAGACCTGCAGACTGGAAGTTCGGCATTTAAGGACATCACACAGGTTTCTAATTTTATCGACAGGTTCATAAGTGCACCTCAGTCGAGATATTAACCTGCTTACACATTGCATGTCACTTATTATATACCATTTAACAAACAAGCAATTTTGTTTTCCATTTATTTCAAAAAATGTTTACCATGCAGCATTTGAATCTTTTAAAGCCACATTTTTTAACTGTCTGATTCGTAATCGTTTTTGGAAAAAATCCGATTTTGACTAAAAAAACTCATTTGATTTGCAAACATTAAGCGTATTTATGTCATTGTCACTGCTACATGTAATCCAAAAATAGTCCCAATCTTCACTCGTGTTATCGATTCCTGATGCAGCAAGGCCATTTGTAAACTCTTCTGCTGTTAATGACAAGGTACTGTCTATGTCTATTATTTTACATATTGTCAAATCAAATTCACGTACTTCCTCAATGAAGTCCTTGTTGTTTGATGTATATTGTTGTGTCATCTTCTTTACAAACTCACTATTCGAGATTTTTGACTGGCCACTTAAAAAAACTGTTTTCCATAACTCGATAATTCTCTCTTTTAGGATCTTTATGACAAACTTATCAGCATCGTTGTAAATTTTCTTTCTTGTAAATGTAAATGGTAAAACGGGTTGAAACGTAAAATAGCATTTTAGATATACACATTTATTTTATTATGCATCAGTTAGTAAGAAGTTGTATTTAAAACAGATTTTGACGAACAATGAACTTATAAATTATCATTTCTGAAGGAAACACTACGTTATATGGTGAATATTTTTTACATAAATAATGTATGATGTTGACATGTGTAACAGTGGATAATACAGATGTGGCAATGAACACTTTCGTTTAAGATGCTTAATATCTATAATTTTGATATGAAAGCTTTTATTAACATATTAAATGTACTTAAAAGGCACAGAAATGTGATTTTGGTAATGCTAATCTCTTTTCATGTTAAAAAAGGGAGGAAATTAAAAAGTTATTTTTTATAAAGTTGAGGTCATTTTTTTTTCAATTAGAAATACCTTGATACATTTTAAAGATTACATATAATCTGAACAAATATTTGCAGTACATATTCTTCGATGTTTGAAAATTGTTTGAGAAGCTAAATTATATACATATATAAATTTTCACTGAACTGTGGTAACAACCTAAATTACAGCATGCAGGATCTTTAAATTTCGGATACTATGAGAGTATGATACAGCTTTTTTCTTATTCATTTCTATTTTATTTCTATTTTACTTTTAAAACATTCAAGATAAATGACCGTTTAGTCTCACTTCTAATATTTGATACATGTTTACTTACTCAAGTTCTAGAAAGTCATCTTTTGTTACCATTTCATCAGAGTTGATATCGGTTTGTTGAAACCACTCATTCGACTTCGAAATAAGGTAAAGCCGGTAACTTCTCACCTTAATACAGTGAATGAATGAGTAAAGTTGCAGTATGTATATGCTTCAATCTTAATGAAATGTGATATCAAACAATTAAAATGGTATACAAATATTATAATTTAGTGTAAGCCTTTTATTGACCCAAACAAATGAAATCTACAGCAGAAAATTTCATACTTATTGTTGCAGCTGTCAATCACGATGAATTGTCATACAAAAGAACACACTTCCGATAAACAATATAGTATTTATGCAGTGTTAAGTTCAACATTAAACATAAAAAATATATTTACCAATCCTTGTGATGGATCGGAACGTACAAAACACGCATCAGGTAAAGCTAAGAAAAGGAGAAAAAACAACATCATCTATGATATAAAATGCAACAAGAACATGCTACTGAGACTATACACAAATCTGGAGAAAGTGTGATCCCTCGGAAGCATTTATCACAACAATTGCAGAATCGGCTTGAATGAGTCTGTACATTAAAGATAATGAAATCCCTCACACCTCCCTAGTACCGGCTTCAATTTTCAACACTTAATAGTGTTGGAATCAATGATCATGAAGGACAATTTTTTTTTAAAAAACCATGAAATGAAGTACGGGCCAACTTTTTACACCTGCCAAACAGCACTTGACATCTACTGTTGTAAAGTATAAAATTGTTAAAAAATGTGATCCCTCGGAAGCATTAATCACAACAAAATTGCATGAACAAAACCTTTCAAACCAATTTTCAGATCAATTGAACTATCCGCCCTCCTTGGAAGGACTTAAACTATAATATAATAGTCGTTCATTTTATTTATGAACCTTTGTTTTTGTTTGTTTGTTTGTTTGTTTCATTTTACGCCTTTTTCCAACAGTATTTCAGTCATATAGGCGGGTAGTTTCCTAACCATCGTTCCTGGAGAGTTACACCAGTACTAGACTACCTTCCTCCGCGCTAAACTACCAAAGCATCTCCCGGGGATCGAACCCACGCCAGAGAGGTAACTGGATTAGAAGTCATCGACTCTAACCCCTCGACCACGGAGGCGGCTATGAACCTTTGATACAGATAAAAAAAACGTCCTATACTATTATTTTTTTGAACCCGACATAACCATGTACACTTCGACAGATTTGTTGTAAGGACTTATTTAATACTTTAGCTACATAAATTTATTTATTATGTGATCTATAAATAGCTTTAAAATGACTTTATTCGACTGGTAAAGGTTTAATATTTTGTAAAAATAACTAGTGAATATCAGAGTATATTCAATGTTTTCTTTCTTTCTGAGTATATTCACTGTTTTTTCTCTAAACATAACTTTTTCTGGAAAACCCACAAACAGCGCGTGCTATGGCGTGACGTCACGCCAAGTTGTTATGTTATTTTTCTGGAAAAAAAAACGTTTGTCAACTCGCAAATAAATGTCAAATGACTATATTTTAGTTACCGTGTTTACAATTTCAAGAATATTTCCAATGCGCTCATTAAAATGTCGGAGCCAAACAATTGTAAAAAGTAGACGTGATGATAAATGTCAATTTCCGTCCTTTCGTATTCAGTGGCAGATTTGTCATCCTTTTATTAAAGCGATTTAAAGATTGTATAATAAAAAAGATTTGTACTTTTTTGCTGATGAATATGATGTGATATTTACTGATAAAAAAATAATATCAATTTCTTTCAGTACATATCACATCATATTCACCAGCTTAACAAATCCATATTTGTATAATATTCTCCACCGTACATATCCTTGTTGATACATAAATTCCGATGACATGCATTGAAAGAGGAAGTTTTAAACACATCAATGATCCAATCGTAAATTTCGCCTGTTGAAACATAAATGTTAAAGTAGTCACAATTTTGTATTAAAACTTATGCTCAGCGATTGATATTTTTAACAACTTGAATATTATAAACGCGTTAAATGCATTAAATGTTACCAAAAAAGTCAACTTATTATAAAATTCCCGGAAATCGCATTCTATATCAAAGAGCAAATATATCACGAGCATTGTGTGATTAGGGTAAATATCAAAGATATGACAAAATTGAAATAAAAAATTGGAAACATTGGAAACGATGACGGTTGAAGGCAAACAATATGCTCAATTTCACTAAAATATAAAAAAGACAATGAAGTAGATGGTATTTAGCATTTGCAAGCTGATCAGATAGATATTTATGAATTGAACTTTTTAAAATATCTATTACATTATAAAGGGCCCAAAATAATTTCTGTTTTAATAACAAATAATTTCACATTAAGAGCTTAAATCATCCAACATGCCATTAAAGTATTAATTAAACACTTTAAAACTAATTTTACCTTTTCCTATGAACTGAAAGAAAAAAATTATGTCGTAGCCTCTGTTTAAAGAATGTTTACGAGAGAGCTGCCTCTCGTAGAATAAATATAAGTATTTTCACCTATTAGTAATTTAACTTTCGAACAATTCAATAAAAAGTGTTTTTTTATTTGTACCAGTGTTATTTTTACTTTGAGACAAAAATTATATTTATTCCCTGTTCCTAGATATTTCTTACCAAACTTTCATTAATTATAACATTTTTTTTATTTATATATAAAACTAACTTAATTACTTTTTAAATATTTGCCACATAAGAAACGATGTGCAACAAATGAATGACCAGGAGCAGGTAGGACAAACTACTCCCATCATTGTTAAAAACAGCATTTCAATATATATGTTTTTTTTTTTTAAAGGGTTCATATTTATATATTGTGACAAGGTAAATACATTCATTTTTTACATTCATTTTCTACACTAATTATGAGTACTTTCTTCTTTTTTTTTTGACGAGTTTTCCGTTTGAATCGCGAAAGGTCATTCATAAGGTGTCAAGAATTTTGAACCTAAATGGAAATATATTTTTTAAATCTTAAATTTTCAAAAAAAAAAATATAAGTACATAACTTCAACGGAAGCGGAAAAAATATCTCTTGTGACAAAAAATAACAAAAAAAAACAAAACAAAACAAAAAAACAACAAAAAAAACAAAACAAACAAACTTACCACCGCCTTTGACAAGTAAAGCCAAAAAAATATTAGCTGTGACATAAAGAAGAAGCCGCATCTCAACTATGATTCTTGTAAACTGGATTTACTTTTTTTATTCTTTTGAAATATATTCCAGTCTATCGATCAAACGAGCGTTTAACAGGACACGTTTTGATCCAACATAACAATTCTTCTCTTACTTTTATATGACAACCAAAATATAGGCGTAGCTTATGTACACTTTTAAAAAAAATATACCAACACGTTTTAGATTTCCTTTTCCTACTTTATAAATGTTCGCTGATGTATGCAATATTTAGATTTCATGAAAGATACTATTTATCTTCAATGTTTAATTCCGATTTTATATATTTTCAAATGAGAATTGTGACCAAAATCCATTCTTTACCAACCCCCGCCTTTTTACTTTGTTCCCGGAATGTTAACAGCTGTTTTGTTCTCTGTTTAATGTATACCTGCAGTGCACAATTGATGCAAGAAAGATGTAATAATTATTCTGATAGCTGTACAGCGCTGCTTATTTACTTATTTTTATACAGGATTGAAGCTTTAATGAGTAAAATTTGCCACAAAGTTTGAATGGCAGAGTGGTTAATTGTTTTTGCATAAAAATACATTGTTATTTTAAACACTTACAAGCATTTAATTTAATAGGGGAGATTACTAACGCTCATTTTCAAGCTGATACTGTATACGATGCTGATTGTGTATATTTTGTTTGTTTTCAAATGCAGAATTGGATACCTTTTTAGCAAGACTTTCTTATATCTGATTCCAAATTTTAACTCAATATTCTCACTTGCAAAGCGTATGTTTAACGTATTTGTTAAATCTCCATGTAAAATATATTTACAATCTTCCGTCCTGTCATCGAATCCTGATGCAGCATAGTTCGCTATGAACTCTGCTTCTTATTCTGGCATGATATTGTCTTGGTTTACTTTTTTGCACAATGCTAATTCATAGCTATTCAATAATAAGTGATTATATTGTTGGATCATCATCCAGGTTAACTCATTTTTTCGAGATATTTAACTTGGTAATTAAAAAACCGTTATTCCTGAAAGTGTCTATGTAGTTGTCACCGTTTGTTCATTTTTAGCAACTTTGTAAAAGTTTTTCTGGGAAATGTAAAGGGTAATATTGTTTCTCTTTCAGTTTCAAGGAGTTTTTTTATACATAAAACAGAATCTGACGATACTTTCCTGATATATTGCAAATTCTGAAAGAAAAAATATGGGACAAAGTCAGAATCTGATGACAAATAATTATCATGTTAATAATGTCAGAAAATGACTTGTAATACAACCATAGGAAGCAATGAACAATTTTAATTCAGTAGACCTGAAGACGTATAACTGTGACTTTTACAGCTCTTTTGAATCTGTTATCTGTCTTCAAGAGGCACAGAGAGGTGGTTTTGGTAATTATCTTTTACATTTGTAATCCTATGATACAGTATTTTTGTATCTAATACATATATTTCTTTAGTTTACACCATAAATTGTTGTACAGGTCATTGTTGCTAATCATTCTATGTCATTATGATGTATCTTTCCAGGGACAATTTCACTCTGTATGTAAGCACTTTGATAAATAAATCTCCTTGGTTTACGCCAGAAATGGATTCTCTGTATTTATTTAAATTATCACGGCGTTTATTAATATGTTCTTTACAGACATTAACAGCCATTTTTACATGATAGAAAAAAGACTAAGCGGCACTTATTTAAATACCTTTGAAATACGTGCTAGGAAGCGAACAAATGATTAAGAATACCTACATCTACAGCAAGCTATTTCTCTCATTTAAAAAGCATCTTTTTGATTTTTGTTGATTCTTAAAGGTTCATATCATTATTTTCATTATTTTTTAAATTATTTTACTTATAAATAAGTAAAGACGTGCATTTTTATTAAAGCCGACTTTCCAAAGAAATTATGGGTACTTTTCTTTATTTTCTCTGACAGGATTTCCGGGTTTGTTTTTACGTTTCATTTGCACCACTTCATTCAATAAAACTTTCTGAGATTTTTAACCTGAATTTAAGGTACATTTGTACTCTTTAGAAAGAAAGAAATCGTTCCTTATAACGGAACATGTCACGTCATGGACAGTGAAAGAAATGAACATTGATGGAAAACTTTTGTGGGTAATAAACATAACTATGTTTTGTTTTCTGTAATTATATGTATATGTGTGCGAGTTTAAATAAAGAACGATATAAAATTATTCCATCAGCTGCATAGGGATACAAGTCTCTACGACTATGCATTATAATAGTTTAATATATTATTGTGGTATTTTTATAAATTGTTTCTTTGAAACGTGCGCTTTTTACTAAATTAAATATGAAACCCCTACACATTTGAACTAAGGAAAAACGCTTTAAAAAACCGTTTCCTTTCCTTTATAATGTATAAAGAAAGTGACCGCTGTGAAGCAATGTCTAACAGACGTTTAACTTAGTCATTTGTGTGAAAGCCTTTTAACAGCAGTATCAATGCTCACCATTTAAAAAGTTAAATGTTTATATGACAGTACTAAAAATATCTTAGCTTTTTTAAACAAAACTTTGTAACCCAATGAATAACAAAATATGATATTTAGTTCGTATTTGTAACAAAATTACAAAAGACATCCAATTAAAGAGAAATTATTTTCACACCGTCCATCCGGTACATAATAATATATCATGCAATAGAAAAAAATGCAGTACGACTAAATTTATAATTATATATCATATCTTGCCACAGTAAAACAAGTGTAAAATATAAAATAGCTTTCAATTGATTTTTTGACTGTTGGTCTAATACTAGACTAAGCTACGGTTATTTAATTTTCTGACCCGTGTTTGGCTAAAAACCGACAGATTCCGATTAAATTGGTGAATGTGACACCCATTAATGCATTAATGTTTCATTATTATATATCATATTAGGAACAAATATGAGAAAAAAAATTGCCCGTTTCGATAGCAAACCGGAAAGTGAAATGAAAGTCATGTGAGAAGAAGACGTAAAGTTATTGCAGGAATATTTTTTTTTCTGCGAAAATAGCCGATAATTTTCTTGCATGAAATATATAAAGTAAACAAGAAGGAAATTGGAATTTTCTTATAAATATTCTTAAAATCAGGTATGTTTTTTTCTGTTTTGACAGTTAAAACAATAATGTGTGTTCTGTCGTATGTAATTAAATACAGCGAGTTAGCCAATAGCGGATCATAGCCAATAACGGGTCAGTCAGTAATGTAATAGATTATTTTACTAAATGTTTTGAACTTAAAAGTGTTATAACCTAACAGTCATGTGCATTAGGATGTGAGCTCTTTGACAGCGAAAAAAAATGTAAACATCCGGATAATTCTAATTAGATTTATTTAGATGCTTTACCAAGCGTTTCCGTTTGTCGCGAAATATTGCGCCAGTAACAACACAAATTTGCAGTCGCTGCTTTATTGCTGAAAAACCCCAAAAGATATTAGATCAAACCTGGTAGGTATTTTGATGCCCTATATGCAGCAGCAGCCGTTTAAAAAATGCATGAGGAATTATAGTGACAGCGCTGGTCAATTAAATTGCATCACGTTGTCCAATAGCGGGTCATGCAATTTTCCAGGAAGGGACCGCCTCAAAGTTATCAAACAGGTTTTAGAAACTATTTTTTAAAGCAAATTTTGGTTTGTATACAAAGAAATATAAAATTTAATTTATTTATGTTATTATTGCAGGTGAATTATGCAGTCCATGCTAAATATATGGTGTTGTATGTAGTATAAACTGCTGCAACATTGAAATATTATTGTTATAGATTCTAAAATATCATTTTTAACTGTAGAGTAACTTCTTTATTTTTAAGTTAACCACTTAAAACTTCAAATACATGTTTTTTCATCACCCGCAGGATGTGTGCCAAAATTTATTACTTTAGCACACATTTGTTTTACAGAATTATTTCCCCATTGAACTAAGAATTTTGTTTAAAATTTAATAATTTTTCTTATTATTATTATTATTATTATTACTTCATTTCTTGAAGTATCTCCTTTTATCTTCAAATGTTTGTTACTTATTATCACACACATCACATGTGATAGATTTATCACTCTAGCATGAACATTTTTGTAATCACCCCCCACCCCGTACTTTTGGTTATTGTTCTTTGTCATTACTCACATCATGACATGACAAGCTCATTTGTTTACTTGTTTTATTGTTTCAGATTCTAATGCCTAAGGGAAAGAGAAAAAGTATTCAATGCAGCCTCCTCAGTGGTAAAAAATAAAGAATAATAGTTTTAAACATGGCTAGCACATAAAACATAAATAAATGCTTTAATGCTGTGCTGTTATTTATTCTTTTTTCCTAACTTATTCTCATTAAGATTACCTTTTTATATAAATGAAGCTATTGTTAAATCTAATTTTCCTTTATTAATGAAATAATTTTTATTTTTCAGGAAACTTCAGAACAATCCATGGTCCTTAAAAAGTCAGTTATCAAAGGGTATCACGCTTTTCAAATAAGACCACCATCAATTACATCCCCAACACATCTAACTGTAGAGCTTGAATATACAAATATCTATGATACTGATGCCTGCTTGGTGTGGTTGCCGCCACTTGAGTCATTCCAAACATTGTTACATGATAGAGTCACTGACCAAAAACGCCAGCTACGGTTACGAGATATAGCAGGACTTCCAATTTGCCATGTTCCACGAAGGATAGCTGGCTTTTTTCTTACCATTACGGACAAAGGACATATCGAAACTGAAGTTACTGGTGAGCCCACTCAGAGTTTCCCACCATGGCCGGCTCCAAGTTCTGAAGGTTGTGGGGTTGTGTTGCCATGCAACTATATTATATTTCACCGAGATATTGAGAGTAATTTTCAAAAACTTTCTGTAATACTAGATAAAATCCCAGAAGGCCCTGCCTGCCTGACACTGAACAAGGAATAAACATACAAATGTATGTAAATTTTCAACTCTGTAAAAGCCAATTAAGCCTAACAATGCTTTCATTATTTTTTTCAAAGCCTTGTTATTTTAAGGCTATCACTTTATTTTTTCAAAGCTTTGTTATTTTTAATGTCCATTTTGCAGTTTCCAGAAGTTACTTATTGGTCATATTT